AACATCTGTATTCTAGCATATTACTTCAACTATTAAACAATTACATTTTAGTCACTAGTCAAATTTTTTAGGTATTACAGATTCGTTGCACTTCTAAAGTCTTCTGAAATCACATGGACCACCATACATATTCTCCTTTACATTACTACAATTAAGGGTGTAAAAAGCTGATCCGACCTGTAAAACTAACTGAAACCGACTCAAGTCAAAACTGTTTTTGACCTGCGCTGTGACGATCTGAAACCGATTCGAACCGGAACTGGTGTTGACCTGAACCCGAATTGGACCTGGAAATTGTGGATCTGAACCCGACCTGCATCCGACCTGAGAATGACCTGAACCCGAATTGAACCGAAAATATGATACCCGAACCTGAACTGCATCCGACTGATATAAACCCGAACCCGAGATTGACCTGGTAAATAACTGGTATTATCCGACCTGTTTTCAACCTGACCTGTTATCAATCTGACCTGTAATTGACTCAACCTGTAAATGATCCGACATGTTTTTAAAATGATATGATATTATCTTGACTTATAAGTGAAGTTACAATTAATATAATTATGTTATTTTAAATTTATAATAAACTTATGATAATTAAATTAATATGATTACTTTTTGAAATTTAGTTTTTATATTAATTATAATTTATATATATTATAAATTTGGTTTTTATATTAATTTCAATTCTTTATATTCTTTATATTTCTTATATTATAAATTTTATTTACAATCACTAAATTAAATTTAAATATTGTCTTATTGAACTTGATTTTATTAAATTATATTAATTAAGTTAAAATATTCATAAATCTAATTTACTTTTAATGTGAAAATTGATTAATAATTTAAGTATAATTTAACTTGAAATTTTAAAATAAAAATGTAACATCCCGAAAGCCGGGTCAGTGACTAAAATGTAAATTTTGGGAAATTTAGTGCTCAATTTTGAAATAAGTTAAAAGTTTTGGGATTTAAGTAAAGAATTTTGATGATGGATTAATAGCATAGATGGATAATTAAAGGGGCAATTTAGTCTTTTTAGCTTAAAGAATATTTTGTATTTTCTTTAAATACAAGTGATACACGTGGGTTTTGGGAGAGTTCTGGAAGCCTTCTTCTTACTCTCTTCTTCTTCTTCTTCTCGTAGCTCCAACTTAAAGGTAAGTTTGATTTTTAACTGTTAATTTCTGGAATTTATAAGTTGGTTTTGAATCTTTGGGTATTAAATAAGCTTAAGGAAGCTTATATAGGATTTTAAACAATAAGATAAAGGAATTATGAAGGAATTTACAATATGAGTTTTAAGATGGAATTTTGATAGGGTTAAGATGAAATAAATGAATATAGATTGGTTTAAGTATGTGTACTAGAGTTAAGAATGAAAAGGAGATGATATATGAAGTGTTTGAGAGGAAATGAAGTAATTTTCGGGTTGAAAATATGATTTCTGGGCAAGGGGAATCGGTACCCATTCAAGGGGAACCGATACCCTTCAAACGAACAAGAATTCCAATATGTCAGGGGAACCGATACCCCCATGGGGGGGGGAACCGATTCCCCCTAAAGGAAAATTGGGAATATGGATTTAATAAGTTCATTTAAATTGATAGTATCCAATTACAAGGTGTAGGTATCTATTGATTGTCTCGAAATGTACATTTATGTAGATTCTACGCATAAAGAAATTCCGGAACGTTTGGCAAGTAAGATCGATCAAGGGAAAGATAAGAGATTTGAATTGGCTAGTGAGGCCAGGTGAGTGCATATTAGTTAGTTATGGTGCTAAATGGAAACAAGACTTGCGACAAGTCTATTTCCTATGTTAGAATGCATGAATATATGATTATACGTATATGAATGACATGAATTGTATGTATGCATGAATATATGTGTTGACATGCTTTTGAATGTAATGTTATGAGAAGTATGTGCTATATAATGTATATATAGATACATATGTGAAACTGAACTATGTGACTGCATGAGAAAGATATGAGCCATATGATATGATATAGGTGAACATGAGAAAGCAAAGTATGAGATAAACTATGTGATTATAGTAAAATATAATTATATATTATATGATAAGTGAATAAGCTGGATAATATTGATCTATAGGATGAAGTGAGAATAGTACACTAACTAGGGGATTTGAACATAAATGATAAGATGAACGTATAAGATAAGCTAGATGGGAAAGATTCATAGGTTTAAATAAAACTATAACACATTGGTTGTATGATAGAAATTTATGAGGTTATATGAGAAGATTATAGGAGTATATGAAATTGAATTAAGTAAACATATTAGATTATATATAGAGAAATATGAAGTGAAATATGTTTATAAGTCTGCCCTAGATGAATACGAAATATAAGAGTGCTATATGATTTATTAGGATAATCTTGAGGATATATATATATATAGATAGATATGAAATGAAATGAAATGAGTTATATGAATACACAATTATGTGATGAAATTGTGAATTACCTGAACATGTGAATATATATATATTATATATATATATATATATATATATATATATATATATGTCTAAGAGAAGGCATAAGATTAAGATATAAGCAATGTGACTATAAGTATATGTGCTTTAAGTGATATGACTTATAAGTATTTCTATTATAATGTTACATGATATGTTATGTATGTTAAAGGAATTATGTGATGGTATAAGAATTGATAGGAAATATTATGTGAAAACAAGTATATGTTACGAGACAACTTATGATTATAAGCTACGTGAAAGTGTTCCTATCTGTTATATGAAATATATGATCATATGTGAACAAGATATGATGAGCATGTGAATTATATGGAAATGATCTACGTGTAAGTGAACTACGTGACTATGTGATCATATGAAAGAAGCTATGTGATAAGTGATATGTGAAAGTGAATTACAAGTTTATATGAATATTTGAATGAAATAAATGATAACGCCCATGTTATGTGTCATGAGAGCTAGGGGTATAGTTGGCATGCCAAGAGTCGAGGGTCTACGCGGTTCTTAGGGACATATGTATATTCTTTGGAACATGTGTGAAGTCTGGAAAGACACATACTTGATCCCTAGCATATGTATATGATTCTTAAAGAATTCTATGTGGTCCTTATGGACATTATTATATGGCACTACGGTGCAAGTCTACGCGGTTCTTAGGGACATATGTATATTCTTTGGAACATGTGTGAAGTCTGGAAAGACACATACTTGATCCCTAGCATATGTATATGATTCTTAAAGAATTCTATGTGGTCCTTATGGACATCATTATATGGCACTACGGTGCAATTCTACGGGGCACTTCGGTACATTTATACGAGCTGTGGTGACAGCATAGTGCACAACCTCTATAGACTCACATATCGATAGTTCTCATATATGTACATGGGCTAATCCAGAGATATGAACAAATATAAGTTAGTGGTATGATAAATGCTATAGAAATGATATGATGTTGTGTGTATAGTGTTTGATTGAAAAAGTATGTGATTATATGATAACCTATGAATGATGAATTATGTGTATGTATGTATTTACTGCGATTAATCTGATATGATTTTATACGATATGAAAAATGCCTGGAATTGCTATAACATGATAGAACAGAACATGCATGTATCAATATATGTTTTAAAGTGCATTATAAGTGGTTATGCCTCACTAAGTCTTCGACTTAGCGTGTGATTGTTTCACACGTAGGTTTCGAGAAGAGTAAGGAGGGGTGCGGAGCAAGACAGGTCAGTTTTCCTTACCAAAAGATCAGATCAGAAATATTTGACAAAGTATGTATTTAGTTATGTATAAAGTGTTGGCATGTAATAAGTCATTAAGTACGAGCACTCTGATAAAGTCTTTATTTTGATTTAAATAAAGTTTTAAATTTCCCGGGATTTTTCTTAAGAGTTAAGGTTTGAAAAGTCAATGTGACACTTCGGACTCGTATCCGAGTCGGATACGGGTTGGGGGTGTTACAAAAAATATATTAGTTGAAATGATGAACTTATTAAATATTTAAACTTGAATAACATTACAAATACTAAAACAAAAAATTTATAAATGAAATTAATTTTATTATACTTGAAAACACTAAAATTACAATAAAAACAACTAAACAAAATAAATTTATGTTGAAATAAATGATCTCAAATCTTATAGCTAAAGTTTTACAAGGTTAAAAACCTAACTAAACTACCAGAAATATCATCATCGAGCCTTTATATCAAAATGTTGTCAACATGTTTAATTATGGGCAACTTTCTAGCTTTAAAAATCAAAATGTGACCAACATAATTTCACACGAGTAACTATTTAAATAAGAATTTATAATGTTAAAAAATTTATAATGTTTAAAAATTGATTTAAGTCACACCAACAACAATAATTTACAAGACATCAATGAGTAATAGACAACAGCAACAGGCAAGCATCAATGTACCAATTCATCAAGCATTATTGCATCAATTCAGCAAGCATCCTGCATTAAGAAAACATACAATCAGTGGTAAAGCCAAAGGGAATTTGATAGCCAACAGTGCCAAACATTTCCGACTTTGAAAAAAATCAACTTAGAAATTCGTAAAGCAACCAAGCATGCAGGTGAAAAACCAACAGAGCCAAGAGTGTACCTCATCAATGACTAGAACATAAACCTCCTCTTCAATGATATTTGCCAATAAACCATGGTTCCAAACTCGGCCAAAACCACCCTGACATGAAAAATAAGATTATAAACTCCTAAATCTTTTTATCAATTAAAAATAGACTCTAGATTAGATAGGCCTGGCACTATATCAAAACAAACAAATTTTTGTATTTTTCACTGCATTTGAAAAAACATCAATTTCCAAAAGCAAACATACCAAATTATGAATAGACCGGTTCAAAATTCATAAAATAAAAGAGACTTAATAGTATAACCTGCAAATCTGGTACAACTCATATGGTAAAATAAATTTGATGCTTCGAAATCCAAAATCCCGATGTTCTTGTGCACACTGATAGAACCAATAAGCTTATCTCTGTCGAAGACCGTCGATAACACTATTTCAGTTCAAACAACTCACATGGCCCTCACCACTGTAGTGAAAGAGGAACAACATTTTCGTGATCAGAATATGAAGCTAAACTTTGTGAACAGAAGACTGCCAGGGTAGGACTGCAGAAACACAATTAGCAACAACAATCCGTTAAAAAGTAATTTGTAAAGCACAAAAGAAAGAAGCAGAGCTAAACAAAATATAGTAACTTGCTTACTTTTTCCTTGTGGTTATCCATCTGTGTATGAGAACCAATTACTACAATGTTTGTTGGCAAATTCTCAAGCTTACTCTTCAAGGCAGTATATATATCAGTATTTCCAGCTATAGACTTCTCTATGTCTTTCACAAACAATATCAAGGGACTGCTTTTGATTTCATTCAATGCGACCTAAAAAATGAGACAGTTTTAGAGAAAACAATATCTGAGGAAGAGTTTGCCTATACCAAGGCAATGGCGGGATCTCTCTGGGATATTTTGTGGTGCGACAAGGTGCTTGAAACTCCGCCTTACTATTCTTTCCAGCAATACCTCCTAATACTAATAAAGGAGACGTGACCAGAGCCCATATCAGAAAAATCACCACAATGGTTCCAAATAGCAATGCTGCAGTGGCTTGATAAGCAATTGCGACAGTGTTGAGAAAGCAAAATGTCACAAAAAGAGGCCCACAGAACAAGCTTCCCGTTAGTAATAAGTTTCTCACCTTTCATGGAAAAGAGAAGTTTTCAATATATTTGATCAAAAGGATATTCACATACTAACAAGACATTTTATTTTTTTGCCCATTCTAAAACTAGTAGGCTAGCATTTTTTTAGTTCCAACTTCCTACATTCTATCATTGAGATTCAGTAGGAAAGAGGGGGAAGGAATAAGATAGGGAATGGCTCAATTTCCATTGCACGATGCTTAGATTAGAACAATAGTAACTGTAAAATTAGCTTCAAGAAAGAGATCTATATGACTCAAATATAATTTAGTAATTCAAATTTTGAAAAAATCAACTATGATAGTAATTAAGGAACTAAAATTCATTAAAGTTAACAAAAATATTTACTATTTTTTTCATGAAAAGTATTTATGGTTTTATCCCATACCCTTTGTTCCTCCCACAATCAATCTTCTTTGTTTCTCCCTAATGGCTTATATCAATTCTAAATTATAAAAAAGCAAATACACACCCACACATTGAGCAGAAAATCTCACTTGGTTTGAACAGAGAGCCAATTTATTTTTAGTTAATAGGACAATTATTATAAAATAGATAAGGAGTCCTCCAAATCATATCCGAAATAATAATAATTTGTAGATATGGAATATTAGTAAAAGGGACCAGTACTGCATACCTAATTTGTTCCTTCAAGCTGACAATAGAAAGAAGCAGCAGTGTAGCCAGCAATTCCAGATGTAAGGGCATAAATGACAACCAGAGCAGTGAACAAGACTCCTCGATTATATGGATAAAAGACTCCCACTAGAGCAAGGATAAAAATGAAAATTGTACTGGAAAGCATGCAAGCAATTACAGTTAACAGATACCTCAGAAACAATAGAACAGAAGTAACATCTAATAGAAGGTCGTCCTTATCAACCTTGCCTTCCTTATCAACTTTACCTAAAAAGCCCCAAATGGGAAGGTCGTCGTAATACATTTGGAAGTAGTAATCTTTTGAGACGGCTGTTCTGAACTTGGCGACTTCTTCCTTTGTTAGCTTCCGTTTGCAAGCAACTTGAGCCTCTTTGTCACCCAAAAAGTTTAGTCAAAACAGGGAACAATAAAGAGATTATTAGTAACGAAAGAGAACAAACGTTGTTTGGAAGCAGAGAAAATCGGAGAGAGAGTGTGAGAATAGGGCGAGAGGGGGTTAAAATAACCGGGCGGACTCAGAGACGAAACTCCAAAGACACGAAACTCATCTTCAAGATCCCGCTCCGAGACCCGTGGGTCTAGGTTACCCACGTACACGCGCAACCTTGTGAAGCTGCGCAAATCAGTAGCAGTACATCTGCTTCGGATTATTGTTTCTTAGGAAGTTTGTTTCGAGTATTCTTAACGAGCAGGGAAGAAGAGAGACCGAAAATAAAGGAGGGAAGGTTTGGCCGGGAAGAGGCGGGAGAAAAGGAAGAGATATCCGTGCCTGTTTTCAATACATATCCCTATAAAATTTATATTAATAAACTATTTATAATTAATATTAAAATAATTATATATTATACTTAATATTAATATTAATATTAACTTATATTAATATAATATAAAATATAGTCTATAAAATTAATATTAATATAAACTATATGTTATAAATTATATAGTATAGTTTATAAACTATAGTTAATATAATTAATATTAATATAGTATAGTTTATAAACCTTAAACCCTAAACTATAGGTTATAAAGTATAAACTATATAGTACACTAATACGAGTAATTGTTTATAAACTATAGGTTACAGATATAGTTTATATAACATATAAATAGATTGTATATATACATATACTATATGTTATATATATAGTTTGTATATATTATACATATACTATATGTTATATATATAGTTTGTATATACTATACATAGTTTATACATACATGTACTATAAGTTACATATATAGTTTACATGTATACATATACTATAGGTTACATATATTAACTATTGTTTATGCATATTGTTTAGGGTTTAGGTATTATGATTTAGGTTTTAGGGTTTTATAAACTATATATTTTGTTACTTTATATAGTTTATGCATAGTATTTCTATAAATTATATATATATATATTCTATAGATTACTTATATTAGTTATGCATACATATTTATACTATATTAATATAAATTATAATTTATAAACTATATGTTTTATATAGTTTATACATATATAGTTTATATACATACATACATACATATATATATACTATATTAATATAAATTATATTTTATAAACTATATATTTTTATAGTTTATATAAATAATATAAATTATAGTATATAAATATATAGTATATAAATATAAACTATAATTTATATATAGTATATACTATATAAATAGTTTATATAGTTCACTAATAAACTATATATAGGTCATATGTAAACTATATAGTTTACATAGTTTATATATATAGTTTATATAGTTTATACATATAGTATAAGTTAGTTTATATTGTTTATATATAGTTTAAATACTACTATCTATAAACTATATAATTTATATATAATTCTATAAATTAACCCTAAATCATAAACCCTAAACCCTAAACCATATATATTATATATATAAACTATATAGTTTATATTAATAAACTATATAATTTATACAATATATATTATTTATAATTATACGTAATATATAAATATAAATTGTATAGTTTATATATAATTTATATATAATTTATATATAATTTATATATAATTTATATATAAACTATATAATTTATATTAATAAACTATGTAGTTTCTATATAGTTAAATAGTTCATATATAAACTATATGGTATTATAGTTTATACATGGTATATATAGTTTATACATAATATATATATATATATAATATAGTATATAATAATATAAATATAAACTATATAGTTTTTATATATAATATATATACTTTATATATAAACTATATAGTTTATATTATATATATATATATATTATAGTTGTTTTATTTTTTCCTCAACTTTTGAAATGAATGCAATTTAGTTCATTTACAGTATTTTTTCACATTTTGCAATCATTTTGATTTGATCCCTTTGTGTTGTTTAATTTATTTAAATTTAAATTTGTAATTTCATATTTATCCAATTTAGTCCTTAAAATTATATTTGCTTCTGAAATTGACCCATACTTATTACTTATTCATATTTTTTAATTGGCCCATAGTTTTTAAATGGGTATAATTTAGTACTTTTTTGTATTAATTTAAACCTCACAATTTAAAATTATTCTGATTTGATCCCTTTGTGTTGTTTAATTTATTTAAATTTTTATTTGTAATTTCATATTTGTTTAATTTAGTCCTCCAAATTATATTTGCATCTGAAATTGACCCATACTTATAACTTATTTATATCTTTAATTGGCCCATAACTTTTTAAATGGGTATAATTTAGTACTTTTTGTATTAATTTCAACCTCACAATTTAAAATTATTTCGATTTGATCCCTCATCAATGTGTGTTGTTTAATTTATTTAAATTTTTATTTTTAATTTCATATTTGTTCAATTTAGTCCTCCATTTTTTATCTGCATATGAAATTGATCCATAATTATTACTTAATTCTATTTTTTAATTGGCCCATAACTTTTTAAATGGGTATTATTTAGTACTTTTTTGTATTAATTTAAACCTTACAATTTAAAATTATTTCGATTTGATCCCTCATCAACGTGTGTTGTTTAATTTATTTAAATTTTTATTTGTAATTTCATATTTGTTCAATTTAATTCTTAAATTTGTATTTTTCATAAAATTGAACCATGATTATTTATATTCTTAGTAATTTACTCTAAATCATATACAATTACAAATTGCAATTCAACGTTCGCGAAAGACGAAAATAATTAATCCAAAAATAAAAATTAACCCGATTTGAACCCAATCCGTATCTGATAGAGATCCGACCTGAATTTTATCTGCCAATGATGTGACCCGATCTGAACGAGATCCGCCTGAAGTCCATCCGAACCTGAATTAACCTGCTTTTTAACTGCTTCGGACCTGAACTGGCAACGATCCGAACTGAAAATGACCTGACCTGAACCCGATCTGGATCTGGTATCAAATCAACCTGAAAATAACCCGAACTGATTTGACCTGACCTGAACCCGATCTGAATATGGTGTCAAATTTACCTGACTTGACCTGTATCCGATTTTACCCGACTTGTCAGGATCCGACTGAAACCTGAACGATTACCCGATTTTACAACCCTAACTACAATCGTCCTAGTCCGAGAAATAATACTCAAGGTAGGTTATTTTGAAATTTATTTTTCTCAAGCACATTATCTCAATCATTTTACTGCCTTTGAGCAGACATTTTGATCAGTTTTAATCCTTTGATCACCAAAAAATAAAAATATAATGATATAAATTTATACAAATTATCATATTAACGTACAATTATTAATTCATAATTTAATTAAAATTCTTAATAAAATTTATAATTTAATGATAAAATAAAATCAATATTAATTCTATAATTTATTGGGTATACTATACAAAAGATGTCGTATCACCCTATCATTTCTTAAGAACATTATAAAATTTTTCCTAATTAAGAAAAAAAATAACATACTTGAATTTTCTTTCCACCGCCTATATGGCCGATTTGCCTAGTTTATCCATATAAATAAGAATACTAGCCAATTCAATTCCGTTGCTTCATTGACTTCACCTCACAATCAAGAAACCCAAAATTCTCTCATTTCAGAATCTTTCTCGATCAATCAACTGAAAAAGATTACAAGCAACAACTACTACCACCTAGGTAAGGCACTTTAGTGTATAGTACATCTGAATTAATTGATGATCAAACCCTAAATTCCTAACTATTCACTGTCTTTGCTAATCGTTTTGAACAGCACTAGAATCATCTCATAGCCAGCCATGGATGAAGAGTACGATGTCATAGTGCTGGGAACTGGTCTCAAGGAATGCATCCTCAGCGGTCTTCTTTCTGTTGATGGACTCAAGGTCTTTTTTTTTTCCTTCTATTTACCTTTTGCGATTTAGTGTTTCCATTCTCTTTTTTCTTTATTTTCTTTTAAATAATTGATTTCTGATCCTAGATCTTGATGGACACATTTTATTTTTGTTTGAGGATCTGTTGGATCTGGTTACATCTTAGATTTGTGTAAGGATCTGTTGGATCTCGTTGCTTTTGTGTGCACCGTAGATCTGTTTAAGGATCTCCTGCCCTGGATTAAGGCAAACACCACGCCTTTGCCTATCTTTGTTATCATCTCCCTCATCCTTTTCCTGCACAGGTACTTATCGAGGTGCCTTTGATTAAGGCAAGGATCTCTATGTTGCTAGAAATAGGACCTGTTTCCCCCAAAAGTTTCAGCCCTCTTGTAAACAGTTTCTGTAATGATGCAATTTTACTGAAATAAACCACTTTAATCTAATCACGGGATGCCAACTATTGGCATGGAATGTGAACAATTGGTTCTTATGACCCTGCTTCTGTAATTGATAACCGGAACTAGTAATTTTGGAATATGGCTACCACAGTTGCTTTGTCAATTTGGTTTTTAAAAGTTCAAAAACCTCTGTATAATCAAAACATGCCCAATTGCGTGCTGTACTAATCTTGCCTGGCTTTTTAGCTGTATAATTCTTGAAAATGTTTGAGCTGAGGTAGATCAAGTCGTCTAGATAAGCTTGGCCTTCGTATACACTTTTCTTGTGAAAGGAAAATGCAACTTGCTTATTCTATGAAGTTGATTCCAAAGTAGACAAGGCTTTTTGTTTCGCTCTTTCCGAAACTGCATGTTTTACAAAATGAT